ACTGAACCTGTGGCCCGCCACTTTTTCAGAAGCCTGTTTACACACGACTTTGTGGGAACTGGCGAGTCAGGATATTTCTGACGAAACCTACGTGCGAATTTTCTGTAAATGTTTTTCCTTGCAATAGTTTCGACAATAAACACACGCTGTTTAATAGTGAACTTCATTTCCACCGTCTGTCGACAGCTGTAAACATTCCACTCCACTTCCACAGCAAGACAAAGACTGACTGTTTAATGCAACCTCGGGTTCCGATTATGCAACCATCGGCGTAGGAGCACTGCAGTCGCGGGGAGGAGTTGCATCCGTTCTGCGGTGGTATGACTCATGGCAAATTGCAGCCGCGGCGCGCACTTGATTGTACACACTGTATAAGGTCATGTTGAAAAGTCATGCCTCCATTTTTATGCGAGAAACAACCCCACATAGTAGTTTGAACTGTGGGGTTTTGCCCTTGTTGTTTGTCATTACTCCGATGACAACCCACTTCTTCGGAACAGTTTGTTGGTCCTGAAAAGGACCGTGGTTGCTGAGATGTTTGATCGGTGAGGTAGCGCGGCGCGCGCCGGTAGGGAGAGAGGTTAGTTGCGGTGGTTTGACTGGCCACAGCGCGGCTGTTGCTGGACATTGCTTGATCGCCGTGCGGCAGGTGAGTTGAAGTTGCATGGTCGCACAGCGCGGTCACAGGAGTGATGAGGCAGTGGCTACGCCAGATGCCCAGTGGGTCGGACAGGGTCACGACCACCAGTGAGTCCAGGCGAGGTGCCCCAGTGCGTCGAGTGTGAGAGCCGGAGGGCCGAGGCAGTCGTGCCTGGCGCAGCCTGCCGATGCCTCCAAAGACCGAGCGCTGGCGACGAAACCTGCTGGCTGATGTTGCTTGAATGTTGCTTGATCGTAGACTGAAGTCAGACTGATGCTGCCGGTTTGCGGCTGCTCCTTTTTATACACTGCTCGGTGGGCGGAGCAAAACTTGAAATTGAGGAGGAGGAATTTGCAGGGCGCTGATTGGCTAGCGCGCGTGATGATGTAGATGCGGGGCTAGCAGCGAGCGCAGTATAAATGCGAACGTTTGGAGCAATTTGATTGGTTAGCACGCATGATGGTGAAAAGTGATGTGAAGAGTGTGCGTTGTAGAAAATTCGTGATAATGTGGGATGTTCCCACAGAACCAAATTGCATGCATTCAGTTAAACTTTCTCAGACTTATGTGTGAAGTGTCATAGTTCTGTCACTAGGGGTCTCTGAATTACAGCTGTGAAAATGGAATAATATAAGGAGACAGTTTAGGGGTTTTTATGACATCACACAAAATGTTGATTCTGTTGTACATAATAAGTGATTAAATTGAATATATCAGTAGATCAATCAGTTTATTGTATTGAACACTACATTTCATGCAGCACCTACATATATGTATGAGCTGAGAACAGGGAAGGAAACAAAACATGAAGGTATTCCAACCACACCACAGAATTACTAACATACTAACTGTATATAATATATAAATATACGTAAATCCACACAAAACATAAACACACCACCCAATTATAATTCAATATATTCACGCTTTGTATGGTACATGTACACACATTTTATGTATATAAAAGATAAAATGGTAACGCTGTCCCTGTAAGAGGCCACGGAGGCCCATAGGGTTGTGAGATGTCGAGGCTGACACATTTTCTAGACAGCTGGCTCACAGATGGCAGTGAAGTTCTTAGCCTTATGTGCTGGCTGCCCTTTTCTCCAGGTAGATTCCCGATAGTCATTTCCGTTAGAGAATAAGTAAACCCCAGGGCCATAGTGTGGCTGGAAGGGCTAGGTCAGTTGAAATATCTAATGACCCCATCGGGATTCGAACCCATGACCTTCCAGCTTGTAGCATAGTGCCTCAACCAACTATGCTTCTATGTATATGTATACATTTTACAATGTATAATTTTCTTACTTTTAATACATTCTTTGAAAACCCTGTAACTGTAACCAAATTGGATCCAGTTTATATTCAGTAATATAGCACAATATATTTATGATTATATATACACACTTGAGGATGGTCAACCATGACCGAAACATAGAGTGTTTAATATAATAAACTGATTGATCTATTCATGTATTCAGTTCAGTCACTTACTGTATATAACAGAATCAACATATTTTGTGATGGCAGAAAACCCCCATAAAGCTACATACGCAACAGGATTCAAAACATGATTTACATTTATTTTCACTTCATGGATCCAATCATCTCCTCGTAGGGCTGGATATAAAACATGTCACATATTACAAATTCATGATAACTACACATTATTTGTCCTTTGTCCAATAAAAAATATAATCAGGCCTCTCACAGATAGTGCAAGTTGTCAGGACAACACACATGGGTTGTGGAAAAACCACAGTCAAATTCACACCTTGCCATTCCACACACACACTGGCAAGCCGTATCATTAGAACAGTTACAATTATAAAATATTAAAATTCATAACAAAAACAGACATCATACATACTACTACACTTACAACAAGAAAGTCTCAACAATATAATTCATGCACACAGACCATTTATTAACTCTTAACTTTTGAGCCCCCATGCTTGACAAATTCATCAATAGAGTAAAATACGTTACTTTGCAAATAATTTTGTAAAACAAACCTAAAATGCTTTTTATCATTTTTTAAAACTGTGATATTTGACGGCAGAGTGTTAAATAGCTAGACACCTGAATAACACAACCCTCTTTGATAGAATGATAAATGTGTTGAAGGTGCATGAAGGTGGTCATTCCTTCTGGTACCAATGACATACACAGAGTTATTGCTTTGAAACTTATCCAGATTATTAACAACAAATGTCATCAATGAAAGAAAATATACACATGGGATTGGCAGTATGTCAAGCTTTTTAAGTAGAACTCTACATCTGTGAGTTGGGCCCACTCCCATCATTATTGTTATTATGTTCTTTTGTATAACAAAGACCTTATGACTGTCTGATGTATTTCCCCAGTATATTATTCCATATTTCACCAATGAATGATAATATGCATAATATACAGTTTTAAGACTATTTATATTTAATATATAGGATAATTTTTGCATTAGAAAACAGACTGTGCTCAACTTGTGAAGAAAAAAATCGATATGTTCCTTACAAGTCAGATGATTGTCCAGCTGCAAACCGAGAAATTATAAGAAAGGAGACCATGTATGTGCAGAATAAACAGCATGCAGTGATGGAGTTTTTGGCTGCAGAAAATGTTTCACTTACTGTCATTCATTTGTTGCTATCATCGCAGTTATCACAACCATTACTAAAGACCATCATCACCATGACCATCATGACACCATCACTTCTTGTTAGGCATTAAGTCTACACAGTGACAGAGATGTTCTGGCAGTAAGACAGATTTGTATTGTGAAAGACTCATGAGACTATGTGAATGATGGTGGAAGCGTGTGGACTACATAAGTGATTATGTTGAGAAGTAATTATATAAAATTACAGAATGAACATGGTTTATGCTAACCGTCTTACAGTGTATACACTTTTTCACACAACCAAAATGAAGACAGCACACACACACATCTCCAGCAGTACAACGCATGCAGTAACAGGAGCAAAACACAACACAGAACACGATACACAAATGTATGTAGGAAGAATGCTCACATAAAAGAGGATTGGCATAATTCGCATGTTTGAGTGTGACGTAGGATGAACCCTGAAAAGTTTTATTATTTAGAATTCATCGACATATATGACGAATACAGATTTTAGTCATTTTAGAATGAAGACATCATGGCATGCAGTACAATAGTTTAACGTGCATATATACACCTGAGGATGGCACATTAGTGCTGAAACATGTAGTGTGGAAGTGAAGAATAAGGTGAAAAAGTGTATACACTGTAAGACGGTTAGCATAAACCATGGACATGAATCAGTGTAACAGGACGCTAAAATATAACATTTTTACAGAATGAAATTCAAGAAATGTACCTATTCTTGTTTCAGTGAAGTATATATTCCTATTATGTAAAAGAAAATTGGAAGGCATTACTTTTCAGCATGCCCTCATAAATGTATATGAGCAACATTCGATAACCAGAGTGAATACTTCAAAAGAGGGCATGAAAGACAGGTGTAACAGTTGCTGTTACTATCAGCATTCCCAACTGCTGGCTGTAAATACTGATATAGATTTGTTTCAGATGTGGTCTTCTGGTGTATGACACCATGCAGACTGGTAGGTGGGTACCACCTACTGATATGAAAGTATGCCTCCATTTTCAGTGTAGACTTGACTTATACTCTGAAGATGGAAGATGGAGGCAGTATGTTTCTCTGAAATATTGGTACCCATCTACTAAACTGCATGGTGCATAACCCAGGAGACTAAAATATGGAGCTTCATCACTGTGGAAAACCTCAAATCTTTTGCAGTTGTTATATATACCAGTTGCCTTTACAACAGTATTTGCAGATATTATTATCATACACAATAGAACTGACTATATTGTGCAATCTTCTTCAGTTTTCCTTTATGGAATAATTCAGCAATAGTTATAATCTCCCAGATTCATTCAGAACAATAATTTAGAAACCTTGATTATATGTGAATAATATTGTGGTGTCACTATACTGTCGTTCCTGAAAAATATATTACTGGTGACTGGAGTAAAATTGTGTTAGTTTTACAGAGTGTTTTAACAATGCACTTGAAGGGTATAAACAGTATAATTGTATATTTATTTCAGAGAGAGATGCTCGATATTCAAAATGGAAAATGGCTGTAGAAAGAAGTTTTGGATGGGAAACGTCACAAGTCAAGTGTGATGATGATAGGTAAAAGTTGTGAAGTTGTGAAAACAAGAAAAATGCATTTATGAATGGTTGTATGGGGATATTTATCAATAACATGCTTGTTATGCTAGAAAACACATTTAGTTGTAGACCTGGTTTGGAATCAGATCTTCATTAACATTAGGTCAGATAGTGAAGAAAAAAAACACTGCACCTAGTTGCTGCTCTGTGATATGTGTATATTCGTGTTATATAACAGTTGAGTAATTTCATGGGTCATATGAACAGGGTTTAAATAAAAGTTACTTTGGAGGCATATTGTATTAATTTTCTTATTACACATTTGTTAAACACTACTGAACAGATAAGTTGTGATTTCACAAAATTAACCTGGTGAAGAAAATGAAGACTTGCTCAGTTTCATTTATTTTATATTTTACACAAAGATATTTTATATTTGTTTTAAAATGTGACTTTATACTAAACTGTATTATTTCAGTTTTGTTGTAATTATTGAATAAATAAATTTGTTTTTAGTATTCAAGTTTGATGTGTGATATTTTGTAAAGTAAAAAAAAGTAAAGCTATCCCCGTACCAGGCCCATAAGGTTGTGAGACGTTGAGGGTCCCGCATTGTCTAGACAATAGGCTCAAAGATGGCGGTAAGGTTGTCAGCCCTACGTGCCGGCCGCCCTTTACTCCCAAAGAAAATTATTTAATTAATCCCTGGTACTCATTTCTGTTAGAGGCTGAGTAAACCCAGCGCCTAGTGCCCTATTGTCTTTCTTTCTTTTTGGGTTTTGTAAGTTTTTATATATGTTGCAACCTATGTTATTGGCCGGGTGGTTTCCTCCGAATAGAGCACATTTTGCTGGAGTATTTGGATTCTTTGTACACAAGGTTGTGTTGCGTTTGCCTCCACCTTTAACACAAGTATACGTTCTTGCACAATATGTTTTTATATGCCCATAGCACTGACATCTTGGGGCTTCGACTGTCATTTTCATATTGTGTAAGTATTTAATTTCATGTATGCTCTTATTGTTTTCTTTAGGTTCTAGGTCTATGAAAAACAAAGGCAGTGGTTCTTTTGTTTGACGATGCCTGATGTTTAGTATATTGGGGACAGTATGACCTTGTTTTTCTAGTTCCTTTTTTATTTCATCCGTGGTTACTGAGTGATGCAGATTTTGTATTACTACTCTAAGGGCCCTTTCTTCTCTGATTTGGTATGTATGATATTCTATTTTTTCTTGTTGGAGTTGTCTGATTACTTTCTGATAGGATTCTGATGTGGTCACATTGATTTTTCTTGTTTCATTTGCAAGTGCTTTGCACTAATACTGTTCTTCTGTCATTGTATTTAGGTGTTTTACCACAATGATTTTGAGAATGTCTCACGTCATTTGGCAATGAACATATTTCCAAACAGCAATAACAAAATTAGAATCCACATACAAGTACATAGCACTTTCAAGACCTCTATCAAACAACGATAGCCAGACAGCCACACATACACAACAATAAAGGTCTTATATATCCATTAACTTCTGGTTATCAAAGTAAGCAATACAATCTCAAGTACAAGTTCTGGCATTACACTTATCACAATATCAAAGCAGACAACCATTTTGGCTGCCCCCCCCACCTTTTACCATAGTAATAATCACTTGTCCACCCCAACCACATATCCCTTTACCAGGGCAAGATGTCTTTATCAGTATCAACATAACTGATGCAAAGACATCTTTTTCATTGTGTGTTCTCCTAAAATTGGACCACTTCTATTACATTACACTGACCTTGACAATAGCAAAACATCTGCTCACTATGGCACTATTCTGTGCTTTGTGTACTCCTATGGATGGTGAGGTATAGTGCAGAGTGAACCTCATAAAACCAATTGGCTAAATTCATAAAGCTCATGGCAGTAAGTGTACCCACCGTGACCCTTTCTGTTCTATGGACTTATATATGTACTTTCCTCAACATGTTAGTTCAGGTTAGTGTTGTTAGCTTTGATTAAGTTAGATTAGGGCAGGTTACATTAAGTTAGAGTACATTCTGTTATAATTTGTATTTTGTCTCAAGCTGTCAGAAAACTTGGCCCACACAGGGTTAATGGCATATATTTCTACCATGAATATTGACATACTGCACTAGGCTGAAATCATTTTCTTCCTTTGCCATCTAAATGAATACATTTGACATACTCTTGACATTTTTAAACGTTTCAATGAATATGGTGTTATAAATTTACCACCCGATGATCCATTAGCATCATGATGTTCCTTCCAGACCCAAAGAAATGACACACACCACCCCTGTGAACACAAAAAGTAACAGTTCAATAAATTTCACCAATTTTATCTTCACTGTGGACCAGAATACTGACACATACATGATAATTCTGAATGCACATGGCAAAACATTACCATCCAATTAAAATCTTTCCATTTGCTAGCGCCACTGTGCAATCACGTGACGCAAAGTCCTTAAAGTGAACTGTCCCTTCCAAAAGTTGCACACATGTCACTGGTTCACTCCTTGCTCGGTTTATGACCCTTCCCACAAATCTGTCACTCTAAACACAATCACTTCAGTTCCTACATATGCAAAAAGAAGCCTCCTGATTGCACACTCTTCAGGGGGGAATCCTTCACCATATGTTAGATTCACAATTTCTGCACTAACAACATAGATATATTTTATCACATTGTATGTTACTAGTAGCACAAACTCTCACATCTATTCCCAGACAATCTGCAAGCTCACGGTGAGGTCTTCTGGGTTGTGACACTGTCTACTCATGTAGGTAGGTATGTAGCTTTTGGGGGAACATGGTTATCTCCACAGGTGTGGTACAATTCTGAGCATTTGTCTGCATGCATGAATTGCTTTTTGCTGAAAGCCTTGCACAAAGCCATCATCTCCTTCCACAGTTTCTTCCCTTTACACATCACACTGGCCACTGTCCTCTTTCCTTCATGTCACTGAACTGATGCTCCCCATTTAACCTTTCTTCATGTGGGCCACTGGACAGTCTGCCTTGCTCAGCCTCCACCGATGACACTTCTTTAAGGCACTTGGGATTCAAGAACACTTCTGCCTAACTCCTTCCCAGTTGCAGTCTGTCTCTGTATCCTTCCAGCATCAGAACATGCGGCAAGAACGAATTCATTACACTCGCTGCCACAAGCGAAATGAATACTCCTTCTGCCTCTGCTCTCTCCTCATGAACTGACAGGAGGTCATGTACTAGCCACTGTGGTTCACACCTGCCATATTTTTAGTGTACCTTACACATTTGCTTTCTTTATGGCAACTTTAGTTCCTTATTCAAGACATCACTTCTGTCACCTTATTGGTGCTTCCTGTGCGAACAGTACTGAATACCATAACCAAACATCTGTTCCTCCATGCAACGCAAAATTTATCCTCTTTTCTGAATGAAGAAACTACCTTGCTACATTCCCCCACTTTACTGCTCTTCAATATCTTCGGGCATTCGAAGCCCTGGATGTTATTATTATGCATGTTGTTACCATGACCATACTCAAGAGCTCTCTGGCCAAATGATGTACAGCACATGCCCATTTAGACTTGACATCCAGAAAGTAGGGTCACAGCATATGTGATGAGCAGGGGCGTAGGGTACATGGATGTGGTGGAAGCATTGCTTCCCTACAGAAAAGCAACCAAGAACATTTCTGGCAATTTTTCAATTTCGAAAAAATATTTCATACTTCAAAATATTAATTAATCTGAGAACATACATTACATATAATGAGAATATTGCAAGTTTTAATGTGTTACATAAACAATTTATCAGGATAGATCAGTTATTTTCTTCCAAAATGCAGGGAACTCTAAACTGCAACACGCGCGGAAGCAGCAGGTCTTTCGCTTCCACCCTCCCCTGGGTTAACTGGCTGACTCAATGTCAATGTTGTCTGTAAGTGAGCTATGCGTTATGGTATGCTACCAGCTTCGTGCTTCCAGCAATGTTGCCAGATGTAAGGCATTGCTGTTTGCAGTAGAATAGTCTGTGACCTTGCAGTTAAGCATGCTTACTAGTTTTCGGAAGGTGTTAGCGTGTCACTTATGCACAAGTCAGTTTAGTTATTATTCTGTATTTTTCTCGATACAGAATTTGTTTTGCTTTGCGTAATTATAACTTTATGACAGTGTTTTTGTGATTGCTGTTAAGTTAAAAATAGAAACATGACACTTTCATGTGATAACCACTGCGTGATTGAAAAACTTCTTCAAACACCGTTCAGTTCACTCAGTTATAATGAGAAACTTAAGATAATAGAAGAAGGTGCACCTAAGCCTAATCTAACTTTACATACAAAAATGAAATCTTGCACATGGCATTTCAATACCAGTTTACATGAGGCTATTCCATGAATGTGTGGGTGTGATAAACTAAAAAAATTATTCTGTTGGCCTTGTCTCTTGTTTTCTAAAGAAAAACACATGTTTAACAGTGCTGGTTACAATGACATTAACAACATTTACAAATCTGGCAAAAGACATGGGCATTCAGTTAATCACATTGCTTGTCTTAAAGAAATTACACTGTTTGGTAAAAACAGAAGGATTGAATTTTCTCTAAGCAGCCAATACAAACAGTCAATTGAAAAACACAATGAAGCTGTGAAACAGAACAGGAAATTTGTAGGCCAATTAATTACAGCAGTTTGTTTTCTGGGCTCTCAGGGTTTAGCATTTCGGGGACATGATGAAAGCGTGGCATCTGTTAATAGAGGAAATTACATTGAGGTTTTAAATATGCTGGCACGTTATGATTCTGATTTACACAATCATTTAGAGTCTTCAACTGCTTTCCGTGGTTCTTCTCCTGACATCCAAAATGAACTGATACATTCTGTATCTGAATTGATGACAATGGAAATTAAAAAGGAAATTTCAAAGGCTAATTATGTTTCTTTAATTCTTGATGAGACTTCAGATGTGATGAATAAGTGTCAGTTGGCTTCAGTTCTTCGATATGTGACAGCTGATGGCAATGTTGAAGAAAGGTTTCTGCGTTTTACAGACGTGAGCTCTGACCGTTCTGCCAATTCCTTGTTTAACCATGCTCTTGAGATTTTAAATGATTTTGAATGTGGTCCCAAACTCATTGCACAGACTTATGATGGTGCTGCTGTTATGGCATCACAACATGCAG